GTTTAGGGGTAGTCCCGCTTTCTTCCAAACAAGGACCGCCGAAAGGGACCCAACATTAAGAACTACCCATACTTGGAGACGCATGGGTACTTCTCATAATCTACTTAGAGGATTCAGGGGGCTTCTAAGTACAGCTATACTTGGGGTTATAAGTACCCCAAATCCGAAACCCTAACCCTAAACCCTGAACCCTAAACCCTAAACCCTAACCCTAAACCCGCAACCCACAACCCACAACCCTAAACCCTAAACTCTAAACTCTAAACTCTAAACCCCAAACACGAAACCCTAAACCCCAAACCCTAAACCCCAAACCCTAAACCCTAAACCCCAAGCCCTTCACTAGGAGACTGCTTGCCGGCCTTTGCGTCGAACCCCTCCGGGACGTATTGCCACTTCCTTAGAGGCCACCCAACAATCTGAACTGGATTCTGGCCGCCCCCTATTGCCCTAAACTTCCTAAACTTCCTGGTCTCCCTAAACTCCCTGAACTCCCTAAACTCCTAGACGTCCTAAACTTCCTAAACTTCCTAAACTGCCTTAACTCCCCGAACCCCCTAAACCCTACAAACCCTAAAGCAGGTTTAGGGTAAAGAGCTTGCAAAGCGAGATGAAGCACCCGAAGCCCGAAACCTCTGAGGCCCTAAACCGCTGAACCCTAAACCACCATTGCGCCCTAAATCCTAAACCCTAAACCCGAAACCCTAAACCCCTAACCCCTAAACCCTAAACCCTAAACCCTAAACCCTAAACCCCCACCACCGCCAGTCAGGAACCGCGAGAAAACCACAGCAGACCCCAGAAGCCTAAACCTCACCGATGTCGGATTTGCGGCTTAGGGTCCCTGAATGACTGAAAGGCCTACACCCTAGCCTTAAACCCAAAACCCTAAACCCTAGACCCTAAACCCTGGCCCTAAACCCGAAACCCTAAACCCTGAACCCTGAACCCTAAACCCTGGACTCCTCAACCCCCTCCCCAAGCTCGTAACACAAGCGGAGCTGCATTGGGATCATGGGGTGGCTCCGGTGAAGGAGGTCAGGCCTGCCATTGCAGGGTTGAGGGGTTCCGCGGCTATTGGGGTTCAGGGTTTGGGCTTTAGGGTTAAGGGTTTAGGGTTTGGGGTTTGGGGTTGAGGGTTTGGGGTTTAGGGTTTAGGGGTTCGGGTTTAGGGTTTGAGGGCGAGGATTTCAGGCTGTGGGATGTTCAGGACTGGAGGGCTTAGGGTTTCGGGTTTGGATTTAGGGTTCAGGGTGCAAGGCAAACACCCTCGCGCGGTGTCTTGTCATCCTGCCTTGGGCCAGCCTGCCTAGACGAAATCAGGTCTGCGATAGCTCGGGCGACGACGAGTTTCTCCTATCCTCCAGCCCCTGAAGCCAAAAACAACCTAAACCCTAAGACCAAAACTCTGAGCCCCCTGAACCCCAAGCCCCCTGAACCCTAAGCCCCCTAAACCCCCTCAACCCTAAGCCAGCTAAAGCCCCCTAAACCCCCTAAACCCTAAGCCAGCTAAAGCCCCCTAAACCCCCTAAACCCTAAGCCAGCTAAACCCCCTAAACCCTGAGCCCCCTACTGTAAGCCCTAAGCTCGCTAAACACTAAGCCCCCTAAACCCTAAACCATAAACCCTAAGACCTGGCCCCTAAACACTGCATCCCAAGACCTGCACCAGCGTGGTGGTGGTGTCTTACCCAGCTCTCATTCGCGTAAGGTCCCTCCCAAAACCTTTTCCCCCAGAGGGATAGGGCTTAGGGTTTAGGGTTTAGGGTTTAGGGTTTAGGGTTTAGGGTTTAGGGTTTAGGGTTTAGGGTTTAGGGTTTAGGGTGTAGGGTCTAGAGTTTGGCTTCAGGTTTAGGGCTTCGTTCCCAACCTTCTACGGCCGCAAGTAGCAGGGACATTGAGATAGGGTCGGGGGTATTGGACTTGGCTTCCCTAGTGCGAGGAGATGTGGGGACTCCTATAGTTCTTTGGCATGCGAAACCCTACACCGTAAACCCCAAACCCTAAACCCTAAACCCTAAACCCTAAACCCTAAACCCTAAACTCTAAACCTTGCTTGGCGTTTCATGGGTAATGATAAGTAGTGTTGCAAGTACCCTAGAAAGGTATGACCCTTTTTACCATATGTACTTGTAACCTGATTTGTAGCCAACCATAAGCCTCCAAGTATAGACCCTAAACCCTAACCCTACACCCTTAGCGCTTCACCCAAACCTAACCCCAAACCCTGAACCCCGAAACCCTAAACCCTAAACAGGTACCCCGAAGCCCAAACCCCAAGAACCGGCCACAGGGCCAACCCTCGGGTTTGCGGCCCAAGCAACCCTCCTCAAAGAGCCATCCCCGGAATCCAAAATCTCCTAAACTCCCTGAACTTGCTAAGCCCCAAACCCGAAGGCCCAGACCCTAAACCCTAAACCCTAAGCCCTAGACCCTAGACCCTTAACCCTAAACCCAAAACCCTAAGGCCTAGACCCTAAACCTTAACCCTAAACCCTAAACCCTTAACCCTGAAGCCCTAAACCCTAAACGACCAGCTTCAAATCCTCGGCCAGCAACCCTGTCGCGGCTCTTTCTCACGACCGTGCGTCAGCGACTTCTGCGTTGACGACATCAACAGCTCTTGGCTGAACCCTAAACCCTAAACCTCAAACTCAAACCCTAAACCCTAAACCCTCAATCCCTACGGCTGCCAAGCGCCATCGCTGCAGCTCAGCCGCCTGCAACCTCCGATGCCAAGAGCCTAGGTTACCAAGCCAAGCGTGTAGGGTCCAGGGTGCTTTGGGGTTTAGGGTGTATAGGGTGCTTCGGATGTTTAGGGTTTCGGACGTAGGGTATTTGGGGCGTCTAGGGTTCAACCGTTTCGGGTGTTCAGAGCTGGGTTTCGGGTTTCGGTGAGGGAAGCCCACCCCCAGGTAAACAACTCCCTGAAAAAACCCCTGGGCCGCCGGTTTAGGGTTTAGGGTTTAGGGTTTAGGGTTTAGGGTTTAGGGTTTAGGGTTTAGGGTTTAGGGTTTAGGGTTTAGGGTTTAGGGTTTAGGGTTTAGGGTTTAGGGTTTAGGGTTTAGGGTTTAAGGTTTACAGATCCCCCTAAAAACCGCCACCCTCGCACCCCGCCCCTCAAAAAAACGCAGAGGAGGGGGTTCCGAAAAAGCCTCCTTGTGTTTAAGAGAAAAAACACCTTCAGAAACCTCCCAGACCCCTAGCCCCCCCACACCCCCGCCCGCCCCAAACAAAAAAGAAACTCTGCACACACACACACACACACACACACACACACACACACAGCCGCAATAAACCCCAAACAAACCCTAATAAGCCCTTCCCCAGTAAAACCCGAATAAACCCCTCATAAACCCCTACTAAACCCTTCATAAACCCCAAAGAAATGCCTAACAAACCCCGCATATTAAACCCCAAACCCCTAAACCCTAAAACCCTAAGCACCTCAAACCCCGAAAACCCCTACGAAACCCTTTAAACCCCTAGACCCTAAACCCCTGCAAACCCCTAATACCCATACGAGCCCCCAAACTCTAAACCCAAAACCCTAAACCCCAAAACCCTAAACCCTAAACCCTAAACCCTACACCCTAAGCCCACTTTAAAGGGCCCTAAGCCCACTTTAAAGGGATCCGCGGAGCAGGCCCAGGTGAGAGGAGAGGAGCTGCTGGTGCTCCGGCCGCTGGTGCTGGGCGCGTGGACTTGAGGGCTGGGGTTTAGGGTTTAGGGTTTAGGGTTTAGGGTTTAGGGTTTAGGGTTTAGGGTTTAGGGTTTAGGGTTTAGGGTTTAGGGTTTAGGGCTTAGGGTTTAGGGTTTAGGGTTTAGGGTTCTGGGTTCTGGGTTAAGGGTTTCGGGTTTAGGGTTTAGGGTGAAGTCCTGTTGGGGGGGGGGGGGGTTGCTAGCCTTTGGCTCCGTCTTCTCTCCAGCTGATCTCCGACCCCCCCTTTGCCAAATCGTGAATTTCATGGTCTTGGGATTCAGAGTTCAGGGTTCAGGGCTCAGGGCTTAGGGTTTAGGGTTTAGGGTTTAGGGTTTAAGGTTTAAGGTTTAAAGGTTTAAAGGGTTAAAGGTTTAAGGTTTAAGGTTTAGGGTTTAGGGGTCCCCGTGTGTGGTCCGCGTGCCCCGATAACCCGGAGCCCCAAACCCCCAAAGACCTGCCTCTTCGAGAGGGTCGGAATTAACTACTGATAGTATTCCGTCATGGTCCCTGTATATTTATAACTCCCCGCCCCCCAAACAAAAGAAACCTCAAACTTAAACCCTACACCCCTGACCCCATTCTAAGTATCAAGGCCCCTATATTCCTGTTCCCTGCCAGCCTGACAGAGGAGCTTGGACAACGTCTCGGCCCACCTCACAAGCGCAGCAAGGAATGTCTTGCAGTGAAGAACAATAACCCCCTAAACCCTAAACCCTAAACCCTAAACCCTAAATTAAACCCTAAACCATACACCCTAAGCTAAGAAGGCTTGTACGGCTTATAGGGCTGATAGGGTCTCGGGGCTTTTGGGTTCAGCTCGTTGACTTCGATCAGCCGTAGAAAACCTCTAAACCCTAAACCCTAAACCCTAAACCTCCAAACCCCTATATGTCAAAACCCAAAACTCTAAACGGCAAGCCCCAAACCCCCCAAAACCCCAAACCCATGGCAATCAAAAGGTTTGGCAAGTCTCCGACGCGCTTGCATTTTGCACATCGCCCAGCTCGCAATGCAACGAACTCCTAAAGCTCTTTTTTCAAACAATCATCTCACGCTGGTTCTTAGTAGAGAATGAGGAAATTCGGAACCATATCGAACCCCTTAAAGGGGAAGCAGAGACAAGGAGACACATGGTATCTCATTCCCTACTAAGAACCAGTAAGAGAAGTAGCCTTATGCTGCTTGCCAGTGTCCAAACTGGCCAACATGTCAGTGCGATGCAGAGGTTGAATCTACGACGCGAAGACATGCGGCCTGTCACTGGTGATGCCCGTCTCCACTTTGCACGGTACGAGACCCTACCAACCGAGAGCGAGAAGAGGCTTCAGAAATGGGTTCGCCCGTTTCATCTCGATTCCTGCTTCGATTTGGAACGATGCCGCCTGGCTGATGTCGCGTGCAACTAAGCAGCTGCCATCCACTGTTAGATATTGCCCCTTCGACACAGAGATCAGGTAGGGGACGCCCATTTGCAGGCACCCGACAGACGACGCTTCGGGGTCGCCTTCTCCGGACTCTGTTGTCTTGAAAGGCTTGAACTCACACTCCATGCGATGGTCAGCAGCGCCTTTGCCAGGCAACGTCGCAACAGCCCCACCGTTGACCCACAGGTAGACGCCTTGCAAACTGACATACCACTTGCGGCTGCCACCTCCCACTGGCACAAAATCCAGCTTCACTGGAACACCATGTGGAGCAAGTCCGAGTCGAGACACGCCATATAGTGCACTTTCGGTGATGACGTTCCCATCCCAATGTCCGCTCCGAGCGCGTAGGATCCCTTGCATGCGGCGGGGTCCACAAGAGCTAACGAGGAAGCCTGCGAGCAGAATCGCTATCGCGAGCCCCAGAGGTGCGATGCCCTCCTGCCCAAGCCAGGAGCCACGAGCGTCCATGAGGCCAATAGGAGCCGTACTGCCAAAGACCGGAACTGGGAGGATCTTGAGCCGAACCAGAATCGGGCAGGGTTTGAGGCATGTGTTTTTAGAGTTTAGGGCTTAGGGTTTAGAATTGAGGGTTTAGGGTTTGTTTGCTGTAAACCGCCGATTACCTCATCAGCCGCTGGTTTTGACCTCGCCACGGTGCGAGGGTGAACAGGCCAGGTCCCAGAAACTTGCCAAGAGCCAATCCCTGTAAACCCCAAAGCCTGAAACCAACCCACCACCCCCCTCAAATCGGGCTAGCGCTGCCCTAAACCGTAAACCCTAAACCCTAAACCCTAAACCCTAAACCCTAAACCCTAAACCCTAAACCCTAAACCAACATATCAGGCGAGCCAGCCCAGACCAGTTCAGGACTTCAAGTGCTTTAGAGCTCGGGGTCTCGGGATTTCGGGGTTTAGAGCTCGGGGTCTCGGGATTTCGGGGTATAGGCGTGTAGGGTTTAGGGTTTAGGGTTTAGGGGCTTTATGGGCGTTATGGGTTTTAGGGGCTTTCGGGGTTTTAGGGGATTTAGAGTTTTTAGGGGTTTTAGGGGGTTTCGGGGCTTTGGGCTTAGCGGTTAAGGGGTTTGGAGTTGGGGTTTCCCTAAACCCTAATTCTAAACCCTTGAACCCTAGACCTGAAACCCTAAACTCGAAACCATGCAGGGTTGAGGATGTAGGACCGGACCTGCAAAGTCTAAACCCTAAACCCTAAACCCTAAACCCTAAACCCTAAACCCTCACCGCCCACGGAGAGGCCGCCGCCTCTTCTTGTGCTGACCGTCCAGGGAAGGCAGGGCATACCGCAAGTGCCTTGGTTTTGGGGGCTCGGCTTAAAAGGGTTTAGGGTTTAGGGTTTAGGGTTTAGGGTTTAGGGGTTTACAGAGTTTAGGGTCTAGGGTTTTAGGTGTAGGGTTTAGGGGTTTTAGGCACGTGAAACACCCCGACTCAAAAACAGTCGAGCAAAAACTCCCAAATAGTAGCCCTAAACCCTAAACCCTAAACCCTAAACCCTAAACCCTAAACCCTAAACCCTAAACCCTAAACCCGAACACCTGGCAGCCTATGGCTCTGGAATCCCTATTCTGGGTGAGGCTTTGGGGCTTAAGGGTCAAGGGTTTGGGCTTTAGGGTTTAGGGTTTAGGGTTTAGGGTTTAGGGTTTAGGGTTTAGGGTTTAGGGTTTAGGGTTTAGGGTTTAGGGTTTAGGGTTTAGGGTTTAGGTTTTAGGGTGAAAGTGAAAGCCCAAATTCCTCCTGTGAGGTAGTAGCGCAGATACTTCACGGCCCACCGCCTTCGCCGCCAGGCATCTGCCGAGAACTCCGGGAATACCTGCACTCGCCGAGCCCGCAAACCTTCAACCCCAAAAGCACTACCACTCAGTTGCGCTTGAAATCACTGGAAAACAATCGAAACATTAAGTGTCATGCATGACCCCAAGCCCCTGAATCATAAACCCTAAACCCTAACACCCTAAGGGCTACCCAAAGACCCTAAACCCTAAACCCCTAAGACCCTAGACCCTAAACCTACCTCCCTAAACCCTAAACCCTAAACCTGTTATTCTCAGGCCCAAGAAGCTTGTGACTCGAGGAGGTCATGCATGCTCTCTGCGATGAGGACGTGCACCAGCGGGGTGCCAGTGCCTTGGGTGCCGCATGGGTTTAGGATTTAGGGTTTAGGGTTAGGGTTTGGGGTTTGGGGTTTGGGGTTTGGGGTTTAGGGTTTAGGGTTTAGGGTTTAGGGTTTAGGGTTTAGGGTTTAGGGTTTAGGGTTTAGGGTTTAGGGTTTAGGGTTTAGGGCTTAGGAAGTAGTATGGGTGCATAAAACCTTCAGGGGCCCTTTCATCGACGAGCTGCGGCCACAGCAGTCCAGAGCGTAGTGCGCAGCGGCGCAGATGCCGGAGTCCGGGCTCCTATACTCCCCTTAGAACCTTAATAAAAAAAACATTATGTTTAATAACCTCTTGGGTTTTAATATAAACAAAAATAGTATGTTTAATAACCTCTTGGGTTTTATATAAACAAAAAATAAAAAATCACTCCCAAGAGGGATATAGGCGCTGGCAAGAGGCCGAAAGGTCACGGATCAACCTCTCCAGAACGCTGGGCAATTGCCTGCACCATTGTGGCGGGGTACTTTTCAAATTAGTGATCATTTTTGTTCCTTGTTGGGTTGAAGTAGTCATAAACATGTGACATGATGTTCAAGAATGACCCAAGGTGCATCTCCGGTGTTTGCAGAAGCCTCTGCCGCCGCGCGTGGGCTTGCAGCATGTACCAGAGTTGACATCGGAACATCTTTTCCAGTTGCGGGTCCTTTTCCGGAGTCTGCTCTACGGAGTCAAGCTGTTTTCTGGTGGCCCTGAGCAAGAATAACCCATCTTCGCCAAAAGCGTCTGCTGTTTCAAGGTCCAAATACAAGAAAAGCGAGACTTAGGCAACAGCCCTCAACCCCTCAACCCTAAAGCCACGCAAAACCAATGCCAACAGCACACACAAGAAGTCTGGCTTAGGGATTGGTGTACGAGAATACCTGTCTACCTATACATGGAGAGAGAGAGAGAGGCGGGTTTCTGGTTTGGGTGAGAAAGTTAACCTGCATACTAGAGATACGCATATATATATATATATAAACAAGCATACTAACTGAGGGTTTGATCAGCGTCTCGTCCTGGGCGAAACGATTCGCCAGAAAACCTCGGATAAATTCAACATCGCTCACTGCAAGCACTTCTTGTCAAAGTCCGCACTTGCTTGGTTTCCCTAGATTGGGCTTGGGGTTTCGGGCTTGAGGGACAAAGTTTAGGGTATAAGGTTTAGGGTAGAAGGACTGAGGCTAGGGTATAAGGTATAGGGTTTAAGGTCCAGGATGTAGGGTTTCGAGTATAAGGTTCAGGGCTCAGGGTGGTCTTGGGTTTACATAGGGCTCATCATAGCGTGCTGCTATGATACCTACTCTTTCGGTTCAAGTGCCCAAAAAAGACCCATTTGTGAAGCCAATACACGCAAGCAGCTTCCCCAAAGTGGGGTCCCCCTGTGATCCCCCCTAAACCCTAAGCCCTACGCCCTAAACCCTAAACCCTAAACCCTAAGCCCTAAACCCTAAACCCTAAACCCTAAACCCTAAACCCTAAACCCTAAACCCCAGACTACTCTTCATTTACATTTCGGAAAACGCCTTGTGGCCAAAGCAGGAGCTGACACTCCTCCTCAGACCCCTGCAACCCCACCAAACTCCCTAAATCATAAAGGGTTTAGGGTTTAGGGTTTAGGATTTAGGGTTTAGGGTGTCTAAAACGTCTAAACCTAAACACTAAACCCTGAAAACCAGCCAAACTCACATAAACTCACAAGAGGACCCAACCTGCTCCTAGAGCCCCTGAGGCCACATGCACATCTTGCCCCAACAACCCGCCACAAAAATTAAACTAAACCCTAAACCCTCAAAACCCTAGGCCCGAAAAAACCGAAAAAAAAACGCTAACAAACCCTAAGCCCTAAAACCCTAAACAAGGCAAACTGCGAGAAAAAAAACCCGCATGGCTACTTTTAATAAACCACGCCCACTCCAACATGCGTGCCATGTACGGCGGCAGCGTAAACTCAGACAGGCATGCTGAGCAATCAGTCAACATGAAATAAATTCGCATGAACAAGCATCGACTGTCATTCCGTGTCTCAACCCAGGTAAAGCAGCCGCCTCGTTTGAACAATGTCCACATAAAGGAAGGGCATGGCAAAGTGTCTGTCATTCAGCGGAGAAGTAGATGCTACCGACCGGCGCGCCACGCGAAGCTCTAGCTCTGTGGAGACATCTTGCAACATGGTGTGGCCTTCACGACTGCCTGCCCGCAAAACCTTAACACCTAGGCCATGTAATCGTGACGTGCCGAAGCCAATCTCAGCGCGGACGCCGATTTTCTGCTTATGCCAGTAGCCAGGGCCCTCGGCCTCCCCATCCTGCAGCATGAAGGCCAGACTCTTGTCCGGCGCAGTGCCCAGCATCTTGCCACAGCACATAAAACCAGTGTGGATACAAGTGATCTGTCGCACTCGTGCTAGCCGGTGTGGATGTCTCTATGCCCTCCCGCTTCGGGTAGCACAGGCCTCTTTCATCAGTGTCCAGCAGCAAGACGACCAAGCTCTCGTCCGGTGCAGCGCCTGGCATCTTGCTGAAGCTCGGTATGTCTTTCATTCTGGCGGTGACGTTCACACCCTCCCAATCGAAGTTCGAGGTCTGTCATCCTGCAGCCCTTTACTGGTCCCTGTGATGTTCACGACCTCTGGGCCACACGCATTCGTCTGCCTCACGGCGTACCCTGAGATCCCCCAGTGCTATCAGCACTGGGGCATGCCAAAAGGGCACTGTGGCTTCGGCAAAAGGCGAACTCCGCTAGGGGAGTTGCGAGATACCCTAACCCCTATAGCCTAAACCCCCTAAACCCTAAAACCCTAAAGACTGCACGCTAAAATGAAGCGAGCTGCGGGCGCTGCGGTGAGCAGCAGCGAGCGTGCAGGGGGCGACAGCCCCAGCTGTCGCGGCAGCCGCAACTAGATTCCTAAATCCCTAAACCCTCAACCCTAAACCCTAAACCCTGAACCCCTAAAACCCTAAACCCTGAACCCCTAAACCGCTGAAACCCTAAAAAACTCCTGAATCCCCAACCCCTAATCCCTAAACCCTGAACCCCTAACCCCTACACACCAAAACCTACAACCCTAAACCCTAAACCCTAAACCCCGCAAACTTCGGAACCCCCAAACCCCAAACCTGCCCTCGAGAGAACGCGTCCAGGGTGCGGCTCTGGGCCTTCTCAGCCTCCCCCGCGGCCTCCCGCACCGCCTCGGGTTCAGGGTTTAGGGTTTAGGGCTTAGGGTTTAGGGTTTAGGGTTTAGGGTTTATTGTTTAGGGTTTAGGGTTTAGGGTTTAGGGTTTAGGGTTTAGGGTTCAGGGTTTAGGGTTTTTAGATTAGG